CGGGGTCCACATATATATATATATATATATATATATATATATATATATATATATATATATATATATATATATTTATATACATATATATATATATATATATATATATATATATATATATATATATATATATATTCAGATATATAAATAGTAATAATTACTGTTGTTTGCAGCAATGTTTGTCAACAGAACCCCCGCTAAAACGACGCTTGTGGAGCCTATCAGCCAATGGAGAAGGCCCTACGGGCTTTTTGTTTTTTCAAGTTTGGTCAGCACACTTACCCTATGCGAGCCTTCCAGTTTTGTTTTTTCAAGTTTGACCAGCACACTTACCCTATGCGAGCCTTCCGGTTTTGTTTTTTCATGTTTGGCCAGCACACTTGCCCTATGCGAGCCTTCCGGAGATCGAAACACCTTTATCTGACGTAATATTCGATAGATAAACTTGGAGAACGGGAGTGAACACTTTGAAAATCACTTAATTCAAACACTGTTCTCTGTTATGTTCTCTATCATGTTTCCTGACCACGCCCACTGTGTATTTAACTGTTGTCGTTAGCTATCAGGACCGGCCAATTCGATCACGTCTATCGTATTGTTAAGAAGCAGATAGTCGTTCTTCTTTTACATTGATTAATCGCTGCTCTCATTTTTTTAGTGGTGGAATACACCTCGACAATAAGCATTCTTATCATACTGGTCAGTGCCGGTGTTGTTTATAGTGTGTATGCGTCGGACGCTGTCTTATCAACAATATTTTTGTATTCACATTCAAGCTTTTACTATGTGCTATCAAGGTCATTTGGCAACGACAAACCTGTCAGCGTTTAATACACACAAGTTTGATCATGACTTCTTGATTGTGCAGTTGTTTGTACTAGCGCTATGGACATGGGAATGATATGAAATCAATCATCCTTAATTTTGGATTTATGTAACAAATATAATTATTGGTCCGGTAGGATAGATAATTTGTTCCCTTGTACCAGGCAAGTGGCAAGGACTGCAGGGATCGGGGTAATCCTATAAATATTATCGCACTGGTTATATGTACTTCCGGGGTCAACCCTATATTCAATATCGGACTGATTAGATATATTTCTCAAGAAAGTTCAAAGTCCTCCCGCGTTGGGAGTGCGCTTTTTCACTTATTGTGCGGGCCATCGTGATTGTAGTTCACGGGGCGAATAAGTTCATAACGCAATAATTTAGGCTTACATTTTATCAATCACTGATTGTATTATGCACATTTATAATTGGAACCGAATATAATACTCCAAAATTGCTTTCTATACTGATATTTATGTATCAACTGTGTGTTCGTCTTATACCCATAGCGTAGAAAAAAAGGAAGAAGCTTCAGATCGTGTCGAGACAGCCGTGGACAAATGCTCCTTCCATATCACACTATATTGATTGCATTGATGTATGCATTTCTCTTTAATAATGGATTATATCCACGAAATCTATATACAGTAACACACATTTTGCTCATACTGCTCTCTAGTTTTTTTGCTACGACGATGATAGAAATAGTTTCACTCTCAGTCTCACTCAAGCCCTTTTTCGCAAGTATTCCGAGGAAAAAAATTGTAAACTTACCGATCATCTTTGAATTTTATATGATTTTTTTCAAAGCGTTCAGTTTGTTAGGTGAGGAGTTTCAAAATGATTGTCATTAACAAAGACCTGCAAAATGATTGTCATTAACAAAGACCTGCAGTACATGAAATTGCGTTGCGCGTTATATATTGAGTTGCCCCTTTTTACCTCAGCTTGGGTCGGAATCGACATGGAACGCAGGCCGGCAGGCATCAGGATAATATTAATAACTCATTTGAATCGAGTCATTTTATACTCTCATGTTGTAGCATTAGGGATCTTCAGTTCGTGCTTTCCAGCTACTCTCTATAAGTCACTACTCCTCGGGTTTTAACCTCTTTTGGAGACCGTTCACACCTCATCACTAATTGTGGCACAAATCACAGTGCGGATTACAACAGTTAAGCACCTTTCAGACAGTTACCATTGACGTTCACGCCTTTTCAAGATATAGTACCGAGAGATTGGCTCGCCATCAATTTAGCAAGAGGACGATTTCGACATTCAACTAAAATTTGGCGTTGGTAGAGCCGTATCAAAGGTTTCTAAGTAGCAATTAAAGAAGCATGGGCTGCATCTGATTACAGCGTTCAACAAAACAGAAGAATTGTTTCAGCCCCAGGACATCAAGCTACCAATCAATTTAAAACAGCACACTGTTTTTAAGAATAAGCAAGTCTTGCGAGTAGTCGAAATTGTCTTTACCAAGCTGGGATTTTCTCGAGATAACTCCGTACGTCAAGTACGTCTGGTATCATATAGCACTTCGTACAACTATAAACCTGATTGAAAGGCCGTTCTCAATATAGCATCGTGCCTGCAACGAATGTGTACGCCTATTTGATACTCTAAGCGTTGGTTGTCAGTGCAATTGTAGTCCCCTGAAGCTGTCCTTGCTATTCGCATGAATGCCAAGTGGATAATGGGGATGGAAGCTATGCGAATAGATTGCCGCAATGTGACCAATATCGAGGCTGAGTAGCCTGGCTGATTCACAACGCCATTGGCCATCGCTACTATTAATGCATGAAAAATTCCATGTGTTCTACCAGGATATCGAGGCTGACGGACATAGCTACAATGGATTGGTCTCATCCAAGTATGCTGCGTGGTGCAGGGCGTTCCAGTTGCAACCCTCTATGCGTTGATTGTGTATGAAGATGTGACTGGGAGGATAGACACTGTTGCGTGATCATCCCTGCAAAGTATGGAGAACCAAAGTAACACAGCGAGTCAGCGAACCGTGGATATGGGATGAAGCCACGCCAAGACACATACGACTGATCACGAGACTCACTGCAATTCTGCAGTGTTAGGTGTCATGATAAAATGCCACCAAAAGGTAAATAATAATGGCGGAAAAACTCTACTAAGACTCTTTTGGGAATAGTAGGCTCCTTCGTGTGCTACACAATCACACATGCTGGTACGACACTTTCTTTGCGAATTGCACATGTCCACGAACATTTGCGGATACAAACATACATAACACGTCACAAAGATCAACGCTATCTCGCATAGACCAACGGACTAGCAACCACGCATATGCAAGCGGGAAGCCAACGTACCTCAAAGTCGGAGTCGGAATCAGACGAGCTCGATCCACTATCTGATGAAGAATCCGAACTGCTGCTCGCACCTTGTCTATGCCTGTGCTGCTGCTGACTGGCGGCGGGCCTCTTCCTAGCATTCGCATTGGAGTTATGGACTGGTGCTGCCCTGTGCGCTTGCCCACCCTTGTCAGCGTTATTTGCACTACCTGCGGACGCACTTCTTGAGTTATTACCCTGTGGTTTACTATTTTTTGGGGGTGGCCTGCTCGTGTGATGTTCTGGGTGGGCTCGTGCTTGTGGGTTTGCTACGGGGGTTTGCCGTGCTTTAGCTTTTACGGCCTCTAGCGTATCCGTAACGAATTTGTCGAGGCAGCGCAGTGTGATAGTACTGAGTGAGTCGATGTCAATCTCGATTTCATCGCCGCCGAAATTCTGGATAAAACGACACCAAGACGCAGGACAATTCCAAAATTTGAGACCAATGTTGTATAGGAATACCCACCCACGTTATTTTGGAATCGCATGATCTTTTGAAAGATCGATTAATGACATCATGCGTGCATGATACGGATTAATATTGATCTGTGTAACTACTCAAAACTTCTATTGGCATGGATGAACGTCGAGACTTAATATTTTGATTTTTCACCGGAAACGAGTCTATTCGCTCCAAAAGCAATGGACAAAGAATTTCTGAAGATCAACACACAAATATAGGGTACAGCTTGATGGTACAGTTTTCAATACTATCGAAAGCTCAAGTTTGAATTTGTTGACGCTTCAATGTAATGGTGTATAGACAACTACAACTCTTTAATACGGGTGACTATGCTTGATTAGCATCCAAGAATAAAACCATATCGTTCACAGTTAAACACGTACGAGTATAGAACAGGCTGTCTATAACGTCCTAGGGGATATATAATGTATACAAGCAACCACTCACGAGACAAGCGTGAACGGACCCAAAATGCCAGTATTGATATTCATGCGTACCAATCTGCCTAAAGTAGCAATAAGGCCCCGCCGGAATGTTTACTAGCAGGTGTTTAAGACAGAAACAAACGTTTCATAACAAATTTCGCCTAGTGCATGCATAACACATGCGCGAATTTAGTCGTGGCTTGATAGCGGCCTTTATGTGTGTTCAAAGTTTAACGCTCAGGACAGGTTCGTAAAAAACCATCACCAAATTTCACAACTAGTGTATACGAAGTGCATTCGTAAATTAGAACCTTCAACGAGCTCCAGCTCAAAATCCAATACAACGACATGCTTATACACAAGTGTGAAATACGGTGACTAAGCAAAGTATGATGCATTCGAAATACACATCACTTTACTATATAACGAGTATGCGAACACAGTTTCAACCATCATCTTAAGATGCGACCCACCACGAAATTTTCACATACTTAACACAGCAGCAATACATACACCAAATCCATAAAGTGCACCGGCAACGCATACACCACACAGATCCACATCGTACTCACCTGCATAGACACATCCCTCGCAATTATTTCCAGTATTCCTTGGATCTTCTCCGGTGGCAACTGGTTGATTGAATTGCTCAATCGCTTCTTCTCCTCGTAGCTCAGCTCGCGCTCCTCCAAAGGCGTCTCAGCCGGTTGTTGTGGCGGCGGCGGTGTCGCACTCTTATCTCGCTTCGCAGCCTTCCTACTAGCTGGTTCTCTCTGTGTCTGCGCAGGCCGTTTACGTGACGCGGCAGCAGTACTACTACTTGCAGCGGGCGCCGCAGGTTTCCTCTTCTTGGCCGGGGGGTCAGTCTTGGCTGCTTTGGGTGGGGGTGCGCTGGATGCGGTTGCTGTGTTTTGGGCGGAGCGTGATGGTGCTCGACTAGACGGTTTGCTTTGTTTGGTATCGGATGCGGAAGTGCTTGATTTTTTACTCGTTGACTTAGGGGCGGTTGATGAGGTGGGGTAAGTAAAAGAGGTGGCGCCTTTGTTGGGTAGGAAGGCGTATCGGGCCTCGAATACCTCCTACAATGCAGAAGTGACGATAGATCAGAAGGATCAGAGAATAAACACTGTGTTAGAATGGATTCCTATAGACGAGGTCTAACTGTGATGGGTCAATATACACAGAATGGGACGCATCTGTATGCGAGTACACTGCATACGCAAACAGGTACGCAATTTTCACCAGTTCACAGAAAAAGAAATCATAGAACTATAAGCGATTGTCACCTAATCTCATTTAGGAACGCTTTCACGTAGATCAATACACACGTACGCAAACGGATTTTTTATCGAGAGCATCGTGGCCGAATATGCATAATCAATTACCAAACTGATGCGTATTCTATTTTAACCGCGGGTAAAACTAGGTTGAAACTACAAATACACACCGTGAAAAGAACATAAACATAAACGGACGAGATGGTAGATGCAGTTGTATACAAACAATAGTACTTGTACATAGCGCTATTTTTGATAAAACAAACACTGTATCTGTCCGGAAAAGGATATATTTCAAATCCATATAATACACAAAACGATTTCTAATTCCCGACGAATAACGACATCTGCAATATCGCATACACATCAAAAGACATGCATACACATAGCGCAATATTAACAGGTACATAAATAAGATCAAATAAAGAGTTATAAGGAGCACACAAGCACATACGCACACCAGGCCACTTACGTTTAGTTTTTGGCCATAAAGAAAAACCTCGCTGTTGGCATCATTGTAGGTATAACAATTGTTAAACATGAGCCGCACATCCTTGGCGAATTCGTCAGGAGTTTCGTATTCGCCGCTATATAAATTTCTCTTAACGAGACTCAAATCCATAGGGACCTTAATTTTGTCAAAATAGTCTGGTAAGGATAGTGCCACCGGGTCCACTGGAGTGTAGAATATCCATGCGTATTTGATATGCTGCAATACAAAGAATTGATATACATATATGCAACCATGAGTCCATGACAATATCTTCAACATAGCGCCACAGGTAAGATTTCTAGCCTAGTTGCACTCTGTGCACCATCGCCACAGACTCGTATACATTCATGTGACGCCCACCGACTTCCATGAAGTCTCCATTAGAATATCAGGGGCACCCCACACACCATCGCCACACACTCGTATAATACCCACCGACTTCCATGAAGTCTCCATTAGAATATCAGGAGCACCCCACTCACCGTCG